ACGGGACGGCATTTTGCCCCGTCTCCGCAATCGACTGGCCTGCAAGCCCATCTCCGACGACCTGTTGCCCCCGAGGTCGTTTCCACGACTGCCTGATCTTACATTCGCTGTCTCAGAAGTGTTGTCTCTTTTTCGCGGGATTTGAAGCTGTCTTTTCTCTGCGTTGCGCACCACATTGACTCGCTTAAACTCCCTCTTCTGCTGGACCACCAGGTCGACTTTGGCGGTGCGGTAGATGCTGCGTTTTCGGGTCACATTCAAAATGATCATGTCGCAAAGGACCGTGGCAATGCCAAGCAGTGCCAAGCCAGAGCCCAGATTCATGCTGAATGTTAACAGGTGAAATTTGCCACCCTTTCCGTAGACTGTAATGAAAAACTGTATACCGAAGGCTTTGATGAGATTGCGTTTGTGCACTCCATTCTCAATGTAGTGCTGGCTGAAACGGAAGTTCCAGCCTTGGCCGACTACACTGTCGAAATCATCCAGTCGGCGAAACGTGTACTTTGGCACGCATTCGTCTTCACTATAGTCCAGATCGCAGTTCCACTCGATTTGGATCGAGATCATTCCACCGTATTTCCAGATGCCTCGGTTGTCCGCCTCCGTGTATCGCATAATATCATCGAGCCGGAAGATGGGGCAAAATTTCTCACGACTATCCAGCGGATTATAGCGACACATTTTCAGATATGTCTTGTCCATCCAAGGCAGAATGTTGCGACGTTTTACTCGATAAAGCGGAAATTCAATGCTATTTTTGAGGATAACCGTGAAGTTTGGCGCTGAGGACAAGATGTTCTCCTTAGGCATAATGTCATGCTCAGTGGGACACCAGCCATATATTTCACAGACAAAGAGGCTCTCATGCCTTGTCGACTTGACGCAGCGGCCTGTGCGGACTCCGCCGCCTGTCAGTACCAGGGTGCCTGGGCTACAGTCTTTGTCGCGTCGGCAACTGTTACCATGCACGTCATGCGACTCCTCACATGTGGCCAAGGTCTGACCAGGAGTCACAATCAGATTTGTCATCACGAAGAAGGCGGAGTTCTGTTGTGGTGGTACCACATAATCTGCTGCATCCCAGACGGAGGCGCCTATATTTTGGTTGTTGGTAATGTTGGCGAATGCGATGCCTTTCAGCTTGGCTGTGACTCCGCTCTGGGCTTGATCAAACTTTTGGTAGCCTTTCTCTTTGATCATCACCCAGAGAATGACGTATAGCACAAAAAATAGTTGGATCACGCGGAAGGAAGCACCGACCTTTTTTGAGTGAATCTGCACCACCTTGTGCGTTTCATACTCAAGTAGGGTGCCGTAGAAGAGTTGCCAACAACTATGTACGATGTTGACCATTTTATCATAGGGAAAAATGTGTAGAGCTCAATATTTTTAGTCCACCTCTAGCAGCAAGTATTATGTGAACGAGTTAACATCGGGTTAATAAGCCCGATTTTATGTCGGCGTTTATACATTTAGAAGTGTTTGTTCTGTAATTTTTATTTATCCCTGATTGGTGATCCCAACTAACCAATGACAAAATGCCGTTTATTCAGTTGTTTCAGAGTTACTGGATTACATGTGCGTTTTTAATTGAATTTGCTTGATAATGATCTTGCTTTTTGCTGGTAAGATGATTATTTGAATAGGCATGCAGTTGGTTGAGTCCACCAATTCTATT